TGCATTTCAGGCGCATCTCACCTTCTTGAGAGGTTCTCGCAGGTAGGGAGCTTGAGGAACAATTTACTGTATGGGCAGTGTAAGTGATATTCCTATTGGACTTGCACAACTGAGCCAAACTCCAAATCCGATCCTGCTAGTTCAGAACCTCATATCATTGAACTCATTCTAAGCATTTCACTAGTGAATGGTACACTTGTTTTAAATGCAGGCTATATGCCTGTTTTCTTTTGACCAATACAAACTGAGTGTAAAACTAGTTAGACAAAATGTTATACTATTTTCTCCCCGAAAATGTTGATGTATGTTGCCTGGAATACTTTGGACAAAACTATGTTGAAGATACTGGTTGACTTGTGCAGTAGAACTGTAATCATATTTGACTAATTATGTTTAAAGCAGAGAACACTTTAGCAAATAGTTGAGTTAAGTGGGGAAGAATGCTGTTTAGACGTAATTTGATTTCAGCCTAAACAGGCTCTGCAAAAAGGCATGAAGCCTCTTCCAATAATACAAAGCTTATTGATTCTATAGTGAATAGAATCATGATAAATGCTCATTGACTTTCCAAGAACATGATATGTTTGAACAATGTATCAGAAGCCGATTCGATAACAACTTTTAAGAGAGAAGTAGATAATTATTTGGGGAGGACACATTTGCAGTGCTAATGGGAGAAAGCAGGGGAGTGGGATTGATTTGGATAGCTCTTTTCAGAGAGCTGGCACGGACATGATGGGCCAAATGGCCTCCTTCTATGCTGTATAATTTTATGATTCTATGATTCTATGAATAAGCTTTGAGATGCTACATCAAATGAACAATGTTATATCAATGCAAGTTGTTGTTGCAAGAGAACAGACAAATCAAGGCATCTATACAAGAGAGCGAATGTGAACAGTTCATTGGGATTGTGTACTTGGAATAGCTTTGCACTTATCCAGACTCCACTATATAAAGTGAGCTCTGAATTGTATCAGAACAAGAGACCCTCCTAGCCTTGAGAGAAGCTAAAGATTGTTCTTTTGGGTCAAAACACTCCATCCCTGGTGTCGACAAAGTAACACAAATACATTCACAAACATAACGTAAAGACCAGGTAGAGTAAATTCAGCAAAGGTTCTTAATTTACTGCTGTCAGAAGCACTTAGGTCTAGCATAAGGTTTACAGTGTGTGTAATAGAACACAGATGGTGTTTCGGGATGACGAGTTGGATAAAATGCTCAGGTCAGGATATGGGCTAGTTTCATATTTGAATTCCGACTAAAGTATCAATTGTTTTGTTTGTAAATGTCCAGTTAGTGTAGAGGGGGTGGGTAATCAGAGGTAAAACCACCAATACAATTCTTACCAAGTGTTTCTGTGTAGGGTCTTAAATCCCATCTGGGATTGAAAAATAAATGTGCCAGGAAGAAACCCACAATACTTAACAAAGGATTAAAACGAACCGCAAACATAATCAGTTTTATGAGCTGAGGATCCTCAGATCACCTTTGCTGGGTTGCTGGTGGTTCCCTCGCATTCCTGGGATATGAATGTAATGCGAGTTGGTGCGATTGGTGCTAAGGGCCAGATTATATGTTTGGACTTGGTACTCACAACTCAACTGCCCGAGTCAAGGGACATTCCAAAGCCCTGGTAGACCTTATAGAGTTCCCAACAGTAAAATGTGTCTGTGGCACAGCTGGTGATATCGCCAAATAAAAACATGCATGACGAGAAAGTCACCTTGTGAGAAACCCACCTCTCATACATATCTTCCAAGTTTGATATGCACCCCAAGCTTTCAGAAACTAGGTGCCTTATCTCCTAGCTATTTGTAGTAAGCACTGCCATACACAATAAGGCGCAACCCTTCATCAGATTACATTGTTTGTGAAACGTTGGTTAGATTACAATTGCAGTACAATCTGAAAGGATTTATTTTATTCGCTCCTTGTACTCTGGTAGTCCTTGTTTCCAGGTGTGGGTTTACTGCAGTTAATGCATTGCATATTCAGTGTTTATATCCCAGTAATTTTGGATAATTATAGACAGTCAGGATGGTGGGTGACTTTGCTGCACTCAGGAAATTATAAGCAGTGGACTGGCAACTATTGGAAACAGGACTCTATAAAATATAATTCAATGAAGGTGCAGCAGCCTTTTTGCTTGTGTATTTAAGGAAGTATTTAAAATTGTGTATAGACTAAAATGCACTTATCTCATCATATGCAATATTACATCGTTTTCTAGGGTTCTTTGGTGCAATTCAACTTGTCTGATGTTGTTTTGATCACCAACCCACTCTGCAATCTATTATCTCTCATTTAGTGTCGGACATGTCAAATCACTATTCAGCAAAGGTGTTTCATATACACCTTTTTTAAAATTTATATAAAAATAATGGAGCTTTAAATAAAACGTAATTACTTATTTTACTTATTTTACCATCTGGGCATAGGTTGGCATTTTAGGCAGAGGCTCGGCGTTGCACTGAAATACACTTTAGCTCATAGTTGTTGGAAAGTCTATTCGGTCAATTAATTAGTAAGAATAGATTGCAAACCAGATCAAAACAGTGAGCCCAGATAATGTAAGTTGCAATAACTTTCCCAGCGAAATATAGAGTCCGATTTTAGTATATAAAATGGGACGTTATTAGCCCCAGACGGTGGGTTAAGACCAGGAATCTGCGATATCAATTGCAACCTCCTCTGGCTGTCAATGAGAGACAGTATCACTGAGGTAGGACAAGGGTTTCACATGCTTACAAGCGTACCTGTGAGTGTTGGTGCTCACTGGCCTGTGGCAGGAGTTCATTTATCCCCACAGATCCCTTGTGGAATATGTACTTAATTGGCATTCACTTAATCTCTGAATTGGAGGCTCACAGAAAAACTCCACTCACTTTACCCCTGAAGAGGGGAGCAAACGTGGACACTAGCAAAGAAAAACAGTCATTATTATCAGCGCCTTGGGATGTCCTCCCGACATGAAAGGCGCTTTCTAAATGCAATTTTGTTGTTGTTTTTGATTTAGAAGAGTGTAACCTAATAAGATACCGAATTTGCTGTACAATCGAGGCGTGGGCACAAAGACCTGTTGGCGCTGTGGTTATTTGCTGCTCTTCAGGTCAGTCCCTCCGGCTAAGCATTGGCCACATTAGAGGTCGCAGGTACCTCAGCTCCTAATACAGATGACAGGGGGGCGGCAGAGCTTTGGGTTCCCTGGGCTATGCTATCCCTCAGTGTGATCAGTGAGGCTGCAACTCATAACTAGCTCAGTCTAGCTCAAAGCCGCTTACAACAGAGCCAATCATAACAACCAGCTGAGAGCTTTGCTTCTTGCCAGAACAGATGTGCCAAGCAAACCCCTCATAATAAAAGCACAAGTTCTCAATTATTTTTCATCCTATTTATCACCTTGTGATTGATGGAATCGAATTCTGATTGTAAACCCATTGCTCTATCATCTCATGTAATGTGTTAGTGTACAGCCCCCAAACTGGAAATTAGGGGAAAGGAAATTATGTAATTTGGTTTAGGTACAGAAAAATCAGCCTCTTACTCTGATCGGTGCAGGTGATAGATTTATACGCAGGAAACCTAGGATTGTTGTTTCAGTCTTGTTGGTATAATGTATGGGTTTCTGTTTACTCTATTGGACTTTTACCATCTTTGAAATGCTGCGAAATTAATGATCTTTCTACCAGTGATATATAAACACTTAAAAAGATCCAATGTCACTTTCAAACGCTTTTTTTTCTGTAGTTAAGTTCGTTCCGACTAAAAATTAAACCTATATCATACAAAAAGCTGTGTAATTTTCTGTGTTTATTTTTAATTCGTGGCATTTCTTGTATTTATTGTAGCCATCGTCAATGGAGTGGCTGACCTTGAGTTTTTTTTGAAATAAGAGTGATTCGAAATGGATTGCTTTGTAGGAAAATGACCCTGTCTCCAACCTTGACAGGGACAATGTCATGTCCATTTCATAAGCTCTAGAAATAACTGAGCGACCGACGTGATCTGGAATCGTGGCGAATCCTCAGTGTGAAGTACAGTACAAGGTGAAACAAGATTTTAAAAGGGCCAGATAGCCAACTTGCCATTCTCCCTTAACCCCATCCTCGATGAAAAGCCTGAACTCTCCATCATTGCCATTGCCAGCTTCCGCACAAGCAAAACCATTCGGATTAAAAATTCAAAGAGGGATGTTTCACAGTGAAAACTCGTGCATTCATGATGAACATTTTCCCATTGCCACATCGGGGGCTCTCAACAACCCGAATTAAGCTTTAATCCACTGGGAGAAGAGGAGGGGGCAATAAAAACGTCCAGCCATTGTGTGATCCTTTGAAATGAGACAATTTTAAACGTTTGACTTGGCGGATTCGGGGTGGGATTTGGGTGAATCGGAGCAGAGAGCCAGGTTTCCCTGGGAATTACCACAGACCAAGGCATCAGCATACAGTTGAGTCATGTTTGTTAGCACATGTTAATCCTGATCAAAAGCAGACCAGCCGCTAACAGAAGGTAATTCAGCCATCAGATTGCCAATAACGACTGAATACGGGCGCAAAGTCAAGCTGATTTAAAAACATAGCACCTGGAACGAATTTTATGTTTATGTGAACTACCCAAACCTGTCACTACCCTCTCACATACGGTTCTGTCAGTTTAAGATACATCTGTAAATAGCAACTGGCAGATTGGGCTCAGTCTCAGTTCCACCTAAATTCTAATCAATTTGTGTATGTGTGTGTGTGTGTGTGGTTCATCATCCGATCCACAACATTACAAAAGTGTTGAGACTCAGTGGTTTGAGTGATTGGATTATTGGATGAAGGGCTCCCCAGCCCCACAGCATGGCCAAAGGTTAGTCTCCCGCCGGGCAACACCTCCGTGAAATGCATCCTATTGGTAAATTGGCATTTATCCACCCTCTGCAGTATTTTAGCTTCACTAGAAAAATCCGATTAGAAACCATCGGTCTCTGGACTTCAAATCGCAGGACGCTACCTGCAACCGCACGATTCCACGACCATGTCTTCATACTGCTTATACACCACGTTATTGCCGGAGTCAATGTACAAAATGCTAATGGGGCTGAGTTTGGATGGGACACAACAACTGGGAGGCGTGGACTCTGGGTCCATTGAATTCATCAACGTTTGTATGATGGCATGGTTAGTAGGCTCCAGGTGAGATCTGAGAGGGAAATCACAAATCCCTTCACAATGATAGGCCTCATAGTCTAAAGGCGCTATGATCCAGTCATCCCAGCCCAGCTCCTTGAAGTTGACATGAAGAGGTTTCCTGCTACATCTGGATTTGGATTTTTTTCCGCTCCCTCTGCCCGATCTGCTGGAAAATGCTGTTCTCCTTTTCCTGCGGCGCTTGACGTTGGCTTCCTGGTTGGCTGCTGGTGAATCCACCCCACCCAGGGATTTGATGGTATTTCTGATCTCCCGGAAGAGGTTCTCTCTTTTCTTGGTGTTACTGAAAGCCACCAGCAAGGCTTTCTCCTGAGGCTGGCGATCAGACCTGTTGAATCCCAAAAGTGTGGGATCTGCAGCCTCTTTTGAGTAATCGGAAATAATTTTCACATCTAAACACAGCAGGGTCGAGGGGACATGGCCTTGCATGAAATCCCTCACGTCAAAGACTTGCCAGTTGGAGGAATCAATGTCCAAAAGATCCACTGTCCTGGAGTCGAGCCGTTTTGGTTGGTGACTCCCCGCCTCTGGGCAGGAATAAAGCAAAATGCGATACATGTTCCCTCCCCGAGACAGCGCCGCATGCAGGTTTTCAGGGAATTTTCTGAAAATCCTCAATTCGGCTCCTACCAGCTCGTCCGTGTTTGGCAGGCTGGAAATATCAAACAGGTATCTCTGTTTCTTCTCAAAGGAGGCTCTGTCTGCAACAGAAGAGATTGCAATCAGCAGAGGTCAGATGTGAAAGCAAGAGAGGAGAGAGGTGATCGGAGGAAGGGAAAGGCTGTGGGAGAGAGAGAGAGATTTTTACACAATAAAAAGCAATAACAGGAAAATAGTAAGAAATTATGCGTGTAAATAGAAGCGAGGAATTTGAATGCAAACTGCTCTGTTGATCTCTTAAGATGCAATAATGTTATTGATGCCTTATGTGTCTATTGTTCACGAATCTGATATATAGTAAATATTGTATATCGATTTTAGTATATTATTACACTCATGTATACTGTATTCCAGGTTGGCCATTTGTGTAAAATACGCGCCAATTCCTTAATCTGAAGCAGAAAAAGATGCCTTTTGATAAATGTTGGTCGGCTTTGTAATTGTTTGGCCCATTTGAAAAGCTTCAAAGTAATTCATTATTCGTGGAAGAAAGTCAAACACACTTTACGTGTGTCACTTATATCGTACAACAAAACAATGTAAGCCTCCACTGGTACACAGCACAGGAAAAGGGGATGTGGACTGCATTTAGACAATTGATATTGAAGGAAAATAGTTTTCCAATACCCAGGAAAGCATGTTTTAAGAAAACAAATTGGGACCAGAAATGCCTAGATCGTTACATTCCATTCTCTTGAAGTGATCTCTAACAAAAAGAGTCAGAGGAACAACAACAAAAAAAACTTAACTCGTGATGTTATCAAGTCTACTTCTGGTGGGGTGTCCCTGAGATGATCATTCAGATTTAATGAAATGGCGTTAGAAACATAACTAACTTCAGAAGCTTTTCAACATACACAAAAGGACTACCCGAGCAATAGTACCAGAAGGGATTTCTTTAAGAATAATTAGTTTCATTCATTATGCGGTTATAAAGACAACTATAAAATAATAATAATAATAATCCTTGCATTTGATATAGCGCTTCTCACGTCGGGAGGACGTCCCAAAGCGCTTCACAGAACACACTGTAAAGTGAATTGACTGTATATTTGTGGGCCAAATGCAGCAGCCAATTGCGCACAGCAATGTCCCACAAACAGTCGTAGATTGAAAATGACCAATTTATTATTGTTTTTGGTTTTGGAGGGATTATTATTAGGCTCTGTGTGGAGTAAGGAAACTTGCCCAAGGTTTCGCCCTCTGCCTGGAATTGAACTCAGGTCTCTCGCTCGCAAAGCGAGTGCTCTAACCCCTGAGATCCAGGGCTCCCTATCATAACTCATTAACCCCTTTATGTGGTCGAATTTGTGACCAATAATATGAATTTGTTCACACTTTTCACAGCAATGTGTTTTCAATGCCGACACACCCGGTGCTCTGTAAAATTGCAAAATGAACGTCGAGGTTTGCAGAGCAAACATGAAAACACACGTGAGCGCAAAACACGAATGATTGCTGGAAAATCACGAGATCCCAGTGATTTAAATCTCAGGAAACCAGGGCGCTGGACTGCAACAGCAATGATAAACCAGCAGAATATTCCTGTTTATTTTGCTAACCAGTGTGCATCTGAATGAAGCGTTCAGTGGTTCTGGAAGAAGAGGTCACAGCTGAAGGGAAGGACACTGACAAAAGATAATTTCCGCCTCAACGCACAAACCAATCCCTCTGCTCACTACCCCCAACAGCCAGAAGCCCGGGCTTGACCCGCTTTTCCTCGCGTTGCTGTGATTCTGTCCTGTGCTGATAAGGGACTGAGGTTAACACGTACTTCTCGCTGCACAACAGTGGATACCGACGCGGTGGAAACTGCGTCTGCGGCCGACAACTGAGCCCTCTGAACCCCGCAGCACATCGACAGGAGCAGAGCGGTGACTCTGCTGTCGCAGGTCACGTACCCATCAGCCGGACCCCCTGTGCCCGGTTTAAACGGTGCATCGGTGAGAAGGGTCAACTCGGTTTGCGCCACTCTTTCTTATTGCGTCCGCTTTTTCTTATTCCAAGACACGGGGGCAATTCGGGTGACCTCGTGGTTCGGGAGCCACCAGATTCAACTTGGATTTGCATCCGAGGTTAAATGCTGGGATTCCTCCCTCTGAATGTCAGGCAACGAATGGCTCCACGTCGATGACCAGATAGATAACGTTGGGCATTTACTACGGGGACGCGGTTATCCCGCGTTGTATACGCAGCACTGAGTGGTTTTTGATGGTGAGCGCATTCATTGCTCGTAAATGAAGTGACGGTGAAGCTGAACCAGTGCCGAACCAGTCCGTTGCAGGTGTGTACCAACAAAAACACAGAGCAAAAGCAGGTCGCGCGTTAACCTCTTCAAAACGGCATTTCAGGGGGAAAAAAAAGCTTAATTCTGATCGTAGATAAACTGTGCAACTCTGAATAAACTCTGGGATAAACGGTGGGACACACATCTCTGGTCATCTTACTCCCACTTGTCACGGATTTCCTAAAGCTGCAGTTAAACACAGATCTTTGGGAGTAAAACATGAAGGTCCCTTCTTAAGATGGGAACCTTTACTATGACGATCTCAGGGGGTTTGATTATGATTATGCAAATACAAAAAATAAAAGGCTTTGGTTTCTTAACTGGTGCAAGAATATCACTTTGAAATCTAGTGTAGTGGGTGGTTTGCCCGATTCTGACTGGATGTCTTATATTGAATGGATATAACGTTTCGCCCACAAATATACAGTCAATTCACTTTACAGTATATTGTGTGAAGGGCTTTGAGACCTCCAGAAAACGTGAAAAGCGCTCTATCAAACGCAAGGATTATTATATTAAAACTGGGTACCAGTCTGCACTGTACTACAGCAGTTTTCTGATGGATGAATCTGGGTTTGTAGAGGAAATAGTTCAATGGGTAAAGGCTGACAATGCCAACAGAAGGTCTGCAGGTTTTTTTGGGGGCTGATCTTTAATCCCAGACAGAAGTTACCTGGTGGGAAGTGGACAGGACAAATCGACATGTCACTCACTGCATCCGTATCGGGGGAATCAAACCAAAGTTACTCCCCCGATAAAGGCAAAACACCGTACAACACACCTTGTGTTGCTGACCGGGCTCTCCTGGTCGAGTTTCGTTCGTTACCAGCTCCTGTGCTGTGAATCGAGAGGTGATTTAACGCCCTCTCACCCGTCGGTACTGGATACAGTCAGTGGTGTTCAAGATCGCACTCTCATGTACCCGACAGTTGTTGTTTTTTTTTTATCTGCTCTGATCGGGGTCTGAGCTGTCACTGTCACACCCCTCACCTCGATCGATCTCTTGCGGAAAATCGCAGCCCCTCCAAACTTTGCTTTCTGTGAATTTAAAATACCTAATGCGTTTTTTTTAAATATATATTTTTATATATATTTAATGTCGTTCGTGAGGTCAAATCGGAACCATCGCACGCCCTTAAATCGTGTGCAGGTGAGGCTGTGTCCCACACAGCCCCCAGAATATAAACCCAGACTGCAGTGGGCAACCCCACACCACCAACGTGGCTCAGACACCATGTGCAGGACATGTCAATCAATGCCCGTTGCGCACTGCGTTGAGCACCAGTCTCCCCTGAACACCCGCATCACCGTTTAGTGAGTCCCTGTTGACGTGAGCTGTGCCTTTCTTTTCACCAAACGTGATCTTATGACAGCAATGATTTTGTACTTTTCTGGCATAACATGGTGTAGCGGCCATAGGGCTGGCGATCAGCGGGTGAATGTTTTGCAATCGCGCAATGATAATCCCTCCAAAACCAAAAATAATAATAAATTGATCATTTTCAATCCACGACTGTTTGCGGGACATTGCTGTGCGCAATTGGCTGCCGCGTTCGCCCACAAATATACAGTCAATTCACTTTACAGTGTGTTCTGTGAAGCGCTTTGGGACGTCCTCCCGACGTGAAAAGCGCTATATCAAATGCAAGGATTATTATTATTATTATTTAAGAAAGAATCAGATTCTCTTTGTCCCCCAAAAAATCAGTTTCTGTGTGTACTTGTGGTACGTTTCTACCCATGTAAAGATGCCCCACGTTTGCTTCCTCTCCTAATAATGATGCTGTTGAAATAATGCCTTGTGTCTAATGGGGAACTGACAGAAATCTGAACCCCCCCACTGCCTGATAGCCTGACTGAAATGACCTCCTCCACAAGTACCTCTGGGATTTATCATCCACTAAACCTTTTCTGGAAACGTTTCAGTGATTTAGTGTACACATATAAAAATATTGTACGACACTTTAAAGAAAATCTCACATCACCACCAATTTGTTTTTTTGTATCGCATTAATCGCAACTGAAACACAAGTGTTGTCTATCCCCAATGTTGCTACGATCTCTGGTAATACCACGCAGTGACTTACAAACAGTCATGAAGGGTACGATATCACAGTATGTTTCTTTTCTGTGTGATTATTGTTACCACTTCATACGTGTATTACACCCCATATTCGCGAATGGAGTATCAAAATAACACTACATGGATTCGTTTTAAATTATATTTGCAAAACCGCTAAGGTGGGCGATGCTAAAAATACGACGCTCAACTGGGCGGGAATGAACTGTAAAATTGCAATGCAAGTGCCTAACTGTAATTTGTTGTAGTTGTGTGGCATCTGAGTTCAGTGCACCAGACAGACCGACTATCTATCTACCTTCTTGGTACATTCAGGGCAAACACAAGCGTCAGCAAATGCCAAGGAATGGGAAGAATAAAGGACTTTGTGGAACAGAGTTCCTCGTTTTTTGAGCAATCTGAGCCCTGTGTGTTAAAACGTACAATTATAATCAAATGTCAGCAGCTGAGACGGAATCAGATACAAACAGGTGATATCTTCACACATTCAAATGTAAAGCTGACAGAATCCGCGACCTCGATTTATTGCTGTGCATATGCAAATACAGAAGAGAGAGAGAGGGAGAGCCGTGTCCACCCGCTTTCACAAACCTCACATACTCCAAAAGTGTGCAACGGGCCACAACATAACGGACTGTGTGACAGGGACTCCCGACTCCTGTTCGCACTGCGTCCGATGCCAAAACTCCGCGGTGCTCTCAACAACACAACTGAACCCTCTGAACAAGTTATACACGGGTTTGAAATTGCTCCTGGGGGTTCGGTGTTTGATTGGGTTTGATTTCTGCCCCCCCCTCCCCCCCCCCCCCCCCCCCCCCCCCCCCCCCGCCAGCGGTTTATGTTTAGGGACTCGATTCGTTTTAACGTGCGTTTGATGCGCATTGCGATGCCCGGTTGAACCTGGTCTCGGGAGCATAACGTGGGTGAACAGAGCTTCCCAACACGATGTGCACATTAACAGCCGGTGCAGAACTTCCCGTCTGAACAGCGAAACCCCCGTGCACTTTTACAGTTGATTTACAGGGCTGTGAATGTTATTACTTGAAGCAATTAAGGGTTCAAATCCACCCCAGCGGCTGTTTGGACAACAGTCTCGCTGTTTAGGGTCCAGGAGAAATCCCAGGGTTAGGATCCATGCAGAGGGCAGCCCTGCACTGAGAACATCTTACTCGCCACCATCCACCCACTGAGCCCACTCCAGGGATATTCAGTTACTACACCCCACCCCCCCCCACCCCCGCGATTTACCAGAATAGGGCGATTTGAAGGAAAGTTAAAGTCAAATGAGTGTGAGGTACCGCATGCAATAAAACAATTTAGCACGTTGTCTGCTCGTGGTTCACTGTGTGTGCAGATGTTATAACCCCTGTCACTGGCAACCCTCCCGCAGAAAGCATCCGTCTCCCAGCTCCTGGGTATCACAACTTCAGTGCACATTTTTTTTGTTAAAACAAGCACGACTTTGCAAATGCTCTTCTAAAATGACATCCAAAAGTCGTCCCCCCCCCCCCCCCCCCCCACCCCACGATCACACTCCTTCTAAAGACAGATCCTATTTAAGCATCACTCCGTTTGCTCTTCCCAGAGAGTTTGGAAAACCTGCAGAATTGTGGCATAAAACTATTCCCGTTGCAGCAGCGAAGACAAACTGAGATAACGCAGTTTTGAGGGATTTATGTTTTGTTTCGCGTTTTCGTCTTCCTTGAAGCGCATTTTCTGCCGAATGGCGCAATAAAACGGTGTTTCCGTCTGAAATTAGTCAATTTCATTGCCGCATTGGTAGTATTGGCGCCCCAGCACAGATTAATACAACCCAGATGGCAATCCCACTTTAACTTCATTTAAATCGCCTGCACAGCTGCCACATTTCTGGCAACATCTAACCAACCAGGCAGCAAAGACATGGAAAGTAGTCAACGAGTGACGTGATCTACAGTGAGACCCTTTTAACATAATCTTGACAAGATGACATGCTTCTGATCTCCACGTTATCGAGCACTCCCCCCCCCCACACCCCCTCCCCTCACACACACACACACACACCACTCAATTGTTTTATTAGCAATTATCGCTGCTGATAAGATCACTTTTCTCTCCTCAAAGTGAATGGCTTTGTTTTATTTCCTTTCCAAAATATGGGGGAGGGGGGAGGAGGGAGGGGGGTGAAACCTTTAACTGTATAGTTGGAAGACTGTGCGGGAGGGAGTGTGTATGGGTGTGTGTGTATGGGGGGGGGGGAGTTAGATTTGAGGATCTGAAATATTAAACAGGGGAAATATGACACGTGTCCTTATTAATACAGTGAATGTTGAATGGGGGGGGGGGGGGGGCATTACGATCTTTATCTGTTGCTGTCAATTTATTTTAAAGCCCCCCCCCCACTCCGATTTGATAAGATCTGTGACAATTAGAAACGAATCTGGTTGTTTTATGGGGTGGGGGGGGATTGACCCCATTGTGCAAAGCCACACAGCAACACAAACCCATCACATCACGGTGAGAACATAACTCACACAGCTTTGTGTCACAGAAACTGATCTTCTCGACCAGGATTGCCTTTCGCTCTGTGTCTGAGGGGTTGTCCTACTCTGGTTGGACTGGACTGGACTGGACTGAAAACCAGCCTGTGTGTGTGTGAGTGTGTGGGGGTGTGTGTGAGTGTGTGGGGGTGTGTGTGTGTGTGAGAGTGTGTGTGTGTGTGAGTGTGTGGGTGTGTGTGTGTGAGAGAGAGTGTGTGTGTGTGTGTGTGGGGGTGTGTGTGAGAGAGCGTGTGTGTGTGTGTGTGTGTGGGGGTGTATGTGTGTGAGAGAGTGTGTGTGTGTGTGTGAGTGTGTGTGTGTGAGAGAGAGTGTGTGTGTGTGTGAGTGTGTGTGTGAGAGTGTGTGTGTGTGTGAGTGTGTGGGGGTGTGTGGGGGTGTGTGTGAGTGAGAGAGTGTGTGTGTGTGTGTGTGAGTGTGAGTGAGAGAGAGAGAGAGAGAGTGTGTATGTGAGCATTGCTATATACAGTACAGTATAAAACTAATCCTGTTAGAGCGACCCTCTGTGAATCCCCAGCACATTCCGGGCAAATATTAAACACTAAAACATGCAACGGCGAGAAATACTATTTCTTAAGATGAAAACGTTCATTGAGAAATTAGTTTGTCCCACCAGATCACACACCCCTCTCCCAACGCCCCCCTCCCCCCCGCCCTCCACCGACCCCGCAAAAGTGTTTCTGCAAACGACATTATTTAAAAAAAACACCTCAATAATTTGGGAATAATTAATTTGTCCCAGAATTGTACCAACTCCGGATTAAGCTGAATTGTCGGGTTTTAATAAACTGCAAAGCAGCCCCGGAGCACACACACCAACTCACTCACTCACTCACTCACTCACTCACACACACTCACACACACACACACACAGACATGTGGAGGTAGTGCTGCTGCTGTTGGATCGCCCCCTTCGCCCCCACCTGCCTCTCCCTCGGCTTAAAAAACCTCGTGGAACTAAAAAAAAGAAGAAGTTACGCGAAAGGACTAAAGGACAACGTAAACTCGTGCCTTTTGACACAGCGAAGACCCCGATGCGGGTGAAGTTGTGTGTGTGTGTGTGGGTGTGTGTGTGGGGGGGAGAGCGCAGTCCCGGACAGAGCTGCTTCCCTTTCTGTTATAAAAGCGCAGACCTTTACGGTTCAAAGGAGAGGGACCAGAGGGGGTGTGGGGGAGAGGGTGTAGGGAGGGGGTGTGTGGGGAGGGGGTGTGTGGGGAGGGGGTGTGGGGAGGGGGTGTGGGGAGGGGGTGTGGGGAGGGGGTGTAGGGGAGGGGTGTGTGGGGAGGGGGTGTGGGGAGGGGGTGTGGGGGAGGGGTGTGTGGGGAGGGGGTGTAGGGGGAGGGGGTGTGTGGGGAGAGGGTGTAGGGGAGGGGTGTGTGGGGAGGGGGTGTAGGGGAGGGGGTGTGTGGGGAGGGGGTGTGTGGGGAGGGGTGTAGGGGAGGGGGTGTAGGGGGAGGGGGTGTGTGGGGAGGGGGTGTGGGGGAGAGGGTGTGTGGGGGAGGGGGTGTGTGGGGGAGGGGGTGTGTGGGGAGGGGGTGTGTGGGGAGGGGGTGTAGGGGAGGGGGTGTGTGGGGAGGGGGTGTAGGGGAGGGGGACAAGTGGCACTTAATCGCTTATTGAACGGAATCCCGTTTTACCCACCGTTTCCCTGGTCCACGAAGCTGGAGACCGTGTTGGCTCGGGTTGGAGCTGGGATGAGGCTGCGGTTGAGCCCGAGCCTCTCGCTGACAGCCAGAGTCCTGTACAGGGACACCATGTACTCGTGTGGCACCGCCGCGCCCTCGCCGATGGCGCGGCTCCGGGAGGCGCCGCCGTGCGCTCCCGCCAGAGCCGCCGCTGGGGCGCCGGGAGCGGCCCGAGCAGAGGGGTCCCGCGGGGGTCCCAGCGTAGCGGCTTCCAGAAGGCAAAGCAAATCCCACCAACAGCAAAGGCAGCACCAGGCGACCAGGGCGGCAGCCCTGTGAGCATCCATTCCGCCAGAGAGAGATGGCCAAAGGGGTGGGTGGTGGTGGTGGTGGGGGGGGGGGGGGGATTGGGGGGTCGCCGGGGGGAGGGGGGTGGTGAGGGGAGGGGGGGGGGATCGGAGGAGTCCGCTGGAGGCTGAGCCTCGGTGATCCGGTGGCTTCGGATTGAGTTTTGCACACTCGCCTTGCAACCCCCCCCCTCCCCCCTCCCCCGGATGGCTGGCCTGGTTACATTAGAGAGAGAGAGGGAGAGAGAGAGAGAGAGAGAGAGGGAGAGAGAGAGATAGATAGGAGAGAGAGAGGGTGTAGAGTAGAGTAGAGAGAGAGAGAGAGAGCGCCACTCACAACCAGAGCAAACCACAAGCGTCCGCAGAGCAGCGCCTCTGATTGGCTCAAAGTCGATCCCAGTTAAAAAAAAAACTTTTTTTTTCAAAAAAAATAACTTTTTTTTCACAACATGGAACCAGAAAACTCCAGGTCCGTCATCCCCGACACACACCAAACCCGCGGGTGGAGTCAGATGAACGGTGCCGTTTGGATCCGGGAGATTGCAATATATTCTGCGACAACGGCGACAGCACCGCTTTGTGATTCATCGCTGTAACTCGTAGATGACGATGGTCTTTACTCACCTTATATACCTCAGCCCTTTATTCGGGGATTTTTTTTTCCCAGTTCTGTCTTTCAATATCAAATCACACACTTATCAACAACGTGTACCGCTTCTATCAGTGGCATTGCAAGTACAAGTCAAAGCCCTCTGATCCCCGAGAAGTGTGTGATATTAATATGGTGTTGTAAGGTGCAAATTTTAATACGGTCAATGAGCCACTGTGAAGGTCAATATATTGTTCACTGTTTGTGCAATGGTCGTATGCAGCTCGAATTCGCTCCCTGTCGGGCTATTGCGAGGGGAGGGAGTTATTCGGCCCTTTATGGATGTTTTCCACATTGACACTTCACACTTCCAATAATAATTTGGCAAATTGAAGGTTAGGCAAAAGTCACTCTGGTGCAGCGCAGACTTGAAGTCATACGCTGTCCCTTCTGCGAAATCGAATGGATGCGCTTATTTCGCGTGTACCTGTCACCATTCGCAGCAGCAGAGCGCACACACGAAGTACATGGTGTCGCCCCTTTTCTCTGCAAAGTGCAATCCACCCCCAGGGCTCCGCCGCTGCACTCAAATGTCTATAATTATATGCCTCGGAAGATTTCATCCGAACGGCATCGTCGCCCTGGAGGGAAACGGGCTCCAAATATCACATGTGGGCTATTCCACGTTTGCGAGAAACAGAAAAAAGAAAGACCAGCAAATGATAGCTTACACTGAACACCCCGCCCGCCCGCTCCCCCAGATATATGGGATTTGCAAAAGCTATTTGATGACTTTCAAAATGACATCCCAACGTCTGAAATGTGGGAGTCGTTGTGGATACACACAGCACTGGAAACTGCATGTTCAGGTGTAACTGAGGTTCTTCAGGAAAAAAAATCTATGAGGTTACGTTATTTGGGCTTTAAGCTCTATGCTTCTCAGCTGCATATACATGTATTCAACATTTGCCTCATGGGCTGGTGGGTTTTGTACTTTCGGTTGAGGGTAAGGTGAATGGAAACATTTGAATGCAGAAACACTGCTTTTAAATGATAGTTGTAAAAAATACGGTCAACGTTTGAATAAATCAAAACAAGATAAAATCGTGGTACCCGTACAGAATGCAACCAATGCATATTTTTATCTGGATTAAATATTGAAAACATTCCCATTATATTTAGACAAGAACTCCTCCGCCACATCGATTGGCTGTGGACAATTACAGAAGTTGAGTCCAGGCACAAATGATTTTTTTTTAAAATCCAGAATTGTAAGTGAAGAATAGGGATTTGTTTTTTGAAATGGAGGTTCGTGCACTTCAAGGAAAAATGATTTATTAAAATCAAGACAGACTGGGTTTATTGCAGGTTCGTTCACCATAATTTGGGGGGGGGGGGGGGTTCAACGCCGAGCTCCTGTTAAAAAAAAAGAAACTGTTGTAAATCGTTTGAACACGGATACTGCTTCCATCCAAACGCATTGAACCAGAAACGATTTCACCTGAAAGGTCGACAGCAGCAATTCTGAGAAGAGATATAATATATACACACACACAAGGCGCTTCGGCTGGGAGTACTTTTAAAGGAGATGTATTCAACTGAAGATCAGTGGACTTTTAAGCATATCATATACAAGTACAGTATGTGGACTGTTCAACACTGTTCAAATTATTGAATCGAAATCCCCCCCCACCCACCCACCCACACACCCACAGACCCACACACACCCACACACACACACACACCCACACACACCCACACACACACCCACCCACACACACCCACACACCACACACACACCCACACACCCACACACACACACACACACCCCCACACACCCACCCACACACACACACACATTTATTACTTCTTCTTGTCGTTCGTGTTTTGCTGATTCCTGCTGCTGGAAACATGCATCGAGTGACTGGAAACCAATCTCTGTTTAACTGGCAAAGGCACACATGGATATTACAGTAATGTATTGGGTCATAATACTGTCAACGAGCCGCGCGTTCAACAAATTTACAGCTTTGCCCCTGTGATGCCTTCGGCAGCGCACGATCCCAGGCAAAGTGCTGCACGGAATCGGTGCAGAGGGCACGCGTTCGGTGGGTGGGTCTGTGGGGGGTTAAAGGTGTGGTAAAAGGAGAGTGAAGTGTTAATATGAATGCAAGCTGCAACCTCTAGGATCACTGTGCAACTTAAACTTAACCCCCCCACACACACACACTAACCTGGATACGATCAGGTGCATTAAAATAATACAATTCCACTCTGGACCAATGCCTCACTTTATTGACTCATTACTGAAATCAAACATTTTTTGGCGAATAAGAAAACGGTGAAAAAACGACTTGATAAAATCGTTCTTAATCGCGTTGATCGTTTTGTGCAACGACAAATGCCTGAACTGCTGAGCATTTCTTTTCAGTCCATTCGGATATTCTGTAATACGGATTCCTTCGTTTTGCTGTTTATAGTAACAACTGGATTTAGGATGAGGCGTAAACGAAACGATCCCTTACGATGCTATATAATAAAGAACATTTGAATGTGTAAATGACAATACGCTGGTATTACAGTGATTTATTCACAAGATCACCAGAAAGATGCAGATGGAGAAGGCCTGTTTGGGTCTCATTCTTCCAAGACAACATCCATTTAGTTAAAACGACACATTTCCAGCCGTAGGTGTGACATATTCTGTCCCTTTTAGTCACCGAAATATAGCCATAGCAATCACATAACTTTTGATTTCATTGCCCCCAGAGGAGATCTGCTTCTCTGGCCATTCATTCATTCATTTCATTCGGTTCGTTTCGACTCAGTGTTGTTCAACTACATGTGAAGAGCGGCATCTTCTGTCCCATTGCAGTACTGCAGCGTATTACTACCAAGTTGCAGGTGCACAATGAAATGGTACCTTTTAATACTGTACAGGTATTCATTTATTTTAATCTCGGTTTATTGCTAACGTATTTTTTTGCTGACGTTTGCTTCTCTCGTCGTTGTGTAATGTGATGCTGTTCGGTTATACTAAGTGGGAACATCTTTTCACTGGATTGGCAGGTGAACAAAAGCACGATAGAAAATATTACTAATGCGGTGAACACAAGCATGACTGCCTACCACCAAATGAGTGGTTGAGGTCAGGGCACTATACTATTTAAGACACAGCTTGATGCTGCAATGGGATGATTTCAGCGCCTTGGGACGTCCTCCCGACGTGAAAGGCGCTATACAAATGTAATCTTGTTGTTGTTGTTGTTAATAGTAGGATAGGATGTTGGAAGGATGAGAACAAATCTGCTTCTTCACCTGCATTTCTTGTGATTTCCAGCATGTTTCATATCCAATGACATTTGAAAGATTGTGGTTAGAAGATCTGCTATTACCTCCTTGAGATCACTCGGCATTCTTAGCTACATAACATCAGGACCTGGTGACTTTCCCACTTGGAGTTTCCGAAATTCTTTGAATTTCAAAAATGTTTTACTTTTATTACATCTTTAATTTTTTCTCTCGCTTTTTATATATTCGTAAAATCCTTTACTATTTCCCTTCATGTTACAAACCAGTCTTTCTTCATACCCATTCTTAGTCTTTCTAACTTTTTTTTTGTGGAACAGAAATAACAAAGGCTTTGCCTTGCCTATCCTCAAGAGAGGGGAACAGAAGAAACTGATAGTTTTGTAAGGACAACGTCAACTGCTGCTTTGAAATCTCTAACCTTGAAGAACACAAGGATTTTGCATCATAGAATTATACAGCACAGAAAGAGGTCATTCAGCCCATCGTGTCTATGCCGGGACAGACATGAATGGGACCTTTTTTTTTAGAAACTCATGCTCTCTGCTATCTTTATCGTGGACATTCTGCTTTCAGATAGATTGAATAAAATACCTTGAGAAAATATCTCTCTGTACTATGCAGTTAATATGCCTACATAGGGGTATACATACAAAATAGTTAGCAATAGATCTAAAAAGGAGTTTAGGAGGAACTTCTTCACGCAGAGGGTGAAGAGAATGTGGAACTGACTGCTGCAAGCTTTAGGTTGAAGCAAAAAGCATCAACATATTTAAGTTGAAATGTGCTGCATACATGTGGGAGAAGGCAATAAAAGGGTATAGGTGAAATGTTTTGGAGCGGTATCCTATAGAATATAAATTCTGTCATGGACATGTTGGGCTGGATGGCCTGTTTCCCTGCCTCCTGCCCCATGCAG